TATCTCATTCTTGAATGAAAGGGGAAGTACGGCAAATCGTGTTACCTACTACATGCAGAATATAGCTATGTTATGCATTTTTGAAATTCTATGTCCAGAACATCTAACTGGTTCCTTTTACCTTTAAATGCAGAAGTCTTCTATTTCAAGCGTACTACCGATCAAACACAATTTGTTCCAATATATGGGGTCTAAAACAATTTCTTGTAAGATCCACTTGCAGCCCTCTTCAAAGATCTGCTTTCTACAAAGTAGAAATTTAACAGAGTAGTACTCACCAAATGGCAATTCATCAAATGCATTAGCATTGCCGAATCGCGCGGTTCACCACCAACATTCGAATTTTCCATATAGCCCATTGGTTTCTGCCACAAAAATGAAAAATCATATTTATCTGCCTCCATGCTTGTAATGGGCGACTCCCCTAATTCTGGCAGTTTCTCTGTATTGTTGTTCTTGTCTGCATCTGGTGATTTTTAATGAATAACATTTTTAAGCTAGATGTTGCTGCTACAATACCTCGCAGAAAATCCAACGACGTTGTGGCCTTTTCTACAGATGACACGATGTTGAAAGGCGGCTTCTGCGCGCTAGGGTATGCCGAGGATACCTGCTTCAAGTCTGACCTGCGATATCCAACGGATTCTCACTTCAGTGATAAGCTGTTATTAAGATATTCTTACCTTGCAAATGTGTTCTTACGCTTTGTTTTCATATTCAGGTGTTCCCTCGGATAATCCTTGCACTCCGCACTTTGCTCATTGAGATTGTTCAAAACTGTGCCAGTTGACGATAGTAATGGGGGAAGTGAAAGTGGAGGACTATTTCCAGGATTAGGCGGAGAAGGGAGAAGCACATTCTTGTCATCAGGACAGGGTATTGTGAAGTTTAAAGGCGGCAAAGGCGTAGGGGGAGTAGAAACTACGTTTCCCAAGGGTTCATTGGATGGCAGAATATTAACGACCAAAAAAGTTGGCTGAGATAGGAATGGAACGAATAAAATGGGTGGAAGAGGAAGAGGAAGGAGAAAAGGAAGTGGAGGAACGATCGGAGGAGTAGGTAAAGGAAGGTTTGAAAAGGGAGCTAGGGGAGGAATCAGAGGAGTGGGTAGGGGTGGAGGCAGAAGAGGAAACTGAGGTGGTGGCGAGGGGATGATTGCATTGCAAGGGTTTGTAGGAAGAGTCTTGACAGAGCTAGAAGCTTGTCCACATGGAGGGCGAAGCCTATAAGTAAAAGTAGAAAATAAAACAAATGACGAAATAGGAAGGAGAACAAAATTCCTCAATCCTGACCGTCACGATATCCTTAAAAGTCATTAATAACAGCTTGATAACTTACTGCCAGTCATGTGTAGAACGCTGCATAGAGGGTACCAAATGGCGGTTGTTCAAAT